ATGTGTACTATCTTACAGAGAAGAACTGCCAGGTTTTACCAAAGGTCACAGAGCCAGCACCGGGGAAGAGCCAGGGTGTAAAACAGGATTTCCGACTCCAAACCACACGCTCACTCTCGCTCTTCCCAATGCCCAGATAGTTTACTTTGCATGTGCCGAAATCACTCCTGTGCAGTGGTTCTCTTCTGCCCCGTCCCATCTTCTCCCCAAATGGATAAATTGCAGTTCTCTAAGGCCAGTGACCTGTCCCTTATTTATTTATTTATTTATGACATGCCTAGCACTCTTCACATACAGTGGAGGTATAATGAGTCCTTGCCAGTGAACTAATCAACCAAAATGCTTGGAAAGGTAAGGAAGAGATATTAGCTTGGATGATGTAAAACCACCGACACTGTACCGTCTGTGGCCTACAAAAGTGATGTCATAGGTCTTAGTATATTTAGTGGATTGCGTGAAGTTAGAGCTTCATTTCGATTCGTATTTTTAAACCGCACAGCTGTTACTGTGTGGTGGGAAATCTAAAGCAGTGGGGCTTTCCCCTGGCAATTCCACAAAACCCTAGGTCAGTCTACGTAATCCTTAAGCGAGGCCACCCCCTGCGTGCGAGCATGCTCATTTTCCTGTCCCCATCTTGGACCTATAATCCAGTGAGGGTAGAGGCCCTAAATTCCCAGCAGCTTTGGGCTCAAAATCCCATTTTTTAGTGCTCTTGAGAGAGTCACTGCGATTCTCTGAATGTCACCTTTAAAATAGAACCTAAACATAGCTGCTCTGCCTCCTTCCTGGGGTTGGGGCAAAAGGCCAAGAAAGTGGTAAGTAAGCAGACATAAAGACCAAGCAGAGGACCAGTTCTGCTGCTAAGGCATCAATGTTCCTGGCCTAAAGCACGACAGCAAATGCTGAATGTATTTATTTACCAAAGGCTTTCCAAGGAGCGAGCATGTGAGTTAGGCAGACACACAAGATACAAAACCCCAGGACTTCTCAGCCTATGTTTGAAGCCAGGCCCTTCTCCATAGGTCTCTTCAGCCGGTGGTATCACTTCATGGGCTAAACGAACCTTTGATGTCCTTGAGGCCTGACAAGATGTCTGGGCCTTTCAGGAGAACTCCAAAAGGTTCTTCTAAGCCTGGGAGGTAGAGCCTACGGCCCCCAGGCCAGGCGTGGCCCACATTTCCCATGGAGGAAAGACTGTCTCTTCCCTGATCTATGGGAAATGCCTACCTACGTGGATACAGACCCAGTAGGGGTAAGAGAAAAAGCTTGGCTTCTTCATGAAAGGATGGATGCCTACGAGGATGGATGCAGGAAGGGGAATACAACCGGCCATGGGCTCATCATTCCTTTCCATCACCTTGTTAGGAAGGGAACCAAGAGACTCTGCCCTCGGGAGCACCGTGCTCACTGTTGTAACCTAAGATGCCTTAGTGCCAGGGATCCAGAAGGGGGCCTGGGCACAGACATCTCCCTCGGAGGGCCTGAATCCCACCTCCTGCTTGTGGATGGGACTCCCTCCTTAGCATCAGACCTGGCCCTCTCCCCAGCATCTCCTTTTTAAGTACAAGTGGTCCTGCAAGGAAAAGGCTCGAAATTACCAACTACTGAGTGCCTTTGTCCATTGCCCTTGTGGCAAATGGAGAGCATGGAGGAAGAATGGCCAATGGGAAGGTGGGAGAGGGGGGCAAGGAACAAAGACGAGGTGATAAGACCAAGGTCTCTTACTGACACCGTGGGGTTTCTGAGGAACAGGACTCTCTGAGTGGGACCTTCCAGGATGGAGTTCTGAGGTTGGTGGCCTCCCATCTAAAGCGTCTGGGGAGGACTGGACACTAACAGGGCAGGCTTAGCCGACATGCTTGAGAGTTCTCTCTACTTCTGGAAAACTAGGACTATCACAGACCAGAAGAGATGTCCAAATGCCCCAGTAGACTGCAAACCTCTTGACCCAAGTTTTTTAAACATCTACTTTCCCGACATTACGGAGGGTTACAATCAGAGAACAATTAGCCATTTGAGGTACTGTTCAGGCAAGTGAAGCTGAGAAGTCCCAGGATGCTGGAAGGAAGAGCCGGGTATGCTACTAATTTTCAGATGAGGGGACAGGGCTGAGTCTCATTAGCCCATTGTCAAATTAACTCAGCTGCCTAGTACCATAATACAGCCAACATTGGTTTTAATAAATGCTAACAGGTAAGAGGATAATTTGCAGGTCAGTGTGATTGATTTTGAGAGAATTATAAAATTAATAGCAATAAGGATAAAAATGTCACCATATGTGATAGTTTCGGGTAACTGTTTAAAATAGGATCTCCTGAAATCTTCCTCCTAGAAGTGACTCCAACTGGGAGAGAGGTGGGGATTGTCAGCCGACTCCATAGCTTCTCGTTCTTGAAGAACAAGCCCAAACAAAGCAGACTGAGAAGGGGAGGCCTGAGCGGGGCCCTGGAGGGTGCTGTCAGAGCTCGTTCTGATCTGCTGTGGACCCTTGGCTAAGGATCCAGCTGTAAACGATGCCTCCGTGAGACTCACTGAGAGCACTCATCGGGGAGCGAAGGGAGCCTGCGAGAACGGAATCGTTATATGCAGAAGGAACCAGGTCAGCTAGCTGGGGCAGGAAATAACCTTGATGGCTGGCAAGTGAATGTGCTGTTGGCAAATAGATCAGAAAACACAAATATTTAATGTGAGAAGAAAAACTGGAAATCAGTAAGACCTGAAAAAACCTAAGGGTGATAACAAATAGTGAACCACAGGCATTTGCCGTGCAATTGAGAAGCCCAAATGCCCAGCATGATTGGGAGCTGGGAAGCCAGAGGCACTTTCTGGAGACCCAGCAATGGATGGGCTCGGGCTCGGGCTTGGTGCCAGAATAAAGCAGCACGTGGTAAACACACGCAAGGAGCTTAGGGGCAGGCAGGCAGGTTGCCGAGAGAGGAGGCGCTATTTCCTAATGGCAAGAGAACAGACAGAGAGCTAAGAGTTGACCTGGTCCCACCGGGTGACATATGCCGAGCTTGTGGTGTAGCAGAGAGAGCGGACACTGGCCTGGGGGTCAAGCCCCTCACTCCAGCTCTGCCATTACTAGAGGGGCAGCTGGGGTTCCCAGTCCCCATGCCTCTACCATCCCTCCCTCACACTAGCATCACCCAGTGCCTGCCACATGGCCAAATCAGTGCTGAGTCCATATTTTTTCCTCCCCTCTTCCCCAGGTCAGTCCTTTCCCACAAGCCATGCACCCTCTCATTTGGGGAGGTCTAATGAGTACGCTGGTCCCTTCACAGTCCGGGTGGTGGCACGGTCCAGATCATCTGAATGTGGAGATACCTGCGCCCCTCCCCCGAGTGCCAGCCTAGAGCATCCTGGCACGTGTCTGAAACCTGGCCTATGACTTGGGTCTCCTCAGCAGGTGTACCCATGAGGCCACATCTGCCCGTGCAGGGTATAACAACCTGTGCCCTCCATGCCCTCCAAGACCCCACCGTGGCACCAGGTCCTGCTGTGCAGGAAGTGCCTGGCCCCAGAACCAGCTGGAGCCTTCTCAGAGCACTCCCCGGTTCCGTTCCCCTTCTCTCCTCCTTCGCGCTGGCCTCCTTCTGGAAGCTCAGCAAGGAGAGCTGTGGTAGGTGTAGACGGAAGACTTTTTCCAATCTCTCTGTCACATGACCACTATACCTAACCCTATTCCCTCCCCCCATCCCCAGCCCCACCCCCAGGCTGGCCCCCTCTTCCTGTCCCTTAGTGATGCTGAGATTGATCTCTGTGGGCTGTGAATAAACCATAGGAGCAACACCCACCCTCAGGGGAGAGCGGTGGCCAGCAGAACAACATGGCAAAAATCAGACCTAAAAGGAAGGTTCCTGGAGCTGCAGGAACCCTGTGGGCAAGCCATCCTGTCTAACCATCAGGCCAAAGGTAGCTTATATTCTAGGCTTCTCGGGCTGAAACTGATGAAGTGGCTGCTCGTTACAGAGTTATAAGGATAATGTGAAAACAGAGAGCCAGAAAGTTCTTGGGTCCTGCTTTTCCCTCCTGCTGAACTTACTTGCTAAGATTGTTAACAATTTTATCTCCACCTATTGAAAGAATGCTAAAGGTCTCCTTTGTAAACTTGCTCTTCAGCAAATCCTTAAGAGATGGCTTCAGAAAACATATGTATAATGTTATTATCTGTATTATATGTCCTTATGTAGTTATGTATTATGTAAGTATATATTAAATATACATATTATAAATAAATTATATATATACATATAGGATGCCCTCTGGTGTTCGGCCCTGTTCCTACACACCCCCATATCTAGCTTTCGGGTAGTACCTCTGCATTGGGTCCCTCCAGCCTACATTTCAGCCCCTCTGGTTGCACAGCCATGATCTTCCAACAGGGCCTTAGGTGACTCTGGAGAAGCAAGGCTGCCCCCTTTGTGACATAGCCGCAGGAGAAACAATCCAGTCAGGAGAACCCCACCGAGGAAACAGCTGCTTAGGAGACCTGGGGAGGAGACCGCGAGCCCTTACCCGTTCACTGGCCTCCCTCCCTTCTGAGTCCCCCTTCCACTCTATTATCTCCAGTATACAGTTCTCTGGGCCCCTCCAAATCACCCTGTACCTTTTGGTCCAGGTCCTAGGCTTTCTACTCGCGATCTCAGCCATACGCGTTTGGTTCTGAGTCCCGGTCCTCCCCCAGAAACCCGGAGTGGTCACACAACAGCAAGCACCAAAAGATCGAAGTCTGGGAAGACCGGCGTATTTCAGAGTGTCATAGAAACTCGAAGTGCTACGAGGGCCAGAGGTTCTTGCCAGGTCACCAAACCCACCTTCCTCATTGGAGGGTATGACAAACCCAAGACCCAGAGTGGCTAAGTGAACTCCCCTTGGCACAAGGCTGGCTGCAGCTAGAGGTCCTGACTCTGCTCATTCTACAATATCGTGCTACAGTTTTGAAAGAGGAGGGCTCTACTGGCTACGAGGCAGTGACACCCTTCTGCGATTATCCCTACCTGAGGTAGAACCACACTGATTGGGATTTCTAGGCTTTCAGATCTGGTGTCTCTTTTTCTTGTAATATTTGGCCTCAAGTGCTGTGAAAAGAGAAAACAAGACAATTTCCGCTTCCCAGCCCCAATTGCTCAACCTGAAAAACAGAAGACTTTCTACTCACTTATCCCCCCTTGTCAACTGTGTACATTATGAAAATCTGAGTCTGAAAGAATGTGAAGATGGTATCTGACAAGATGCGTATCTCTGGACAAAAATTTAGACAGGTATTATAGTTGGTGTAAAAACCTTCCAAAAAGTCTTTGGAGCAGAGATACCCATACCTACTACCTACTCTAAGATGATTACTTCTATCTCAAGTAAAAAGCCATACCAGCGTTAGGTGCCAGGTATAGGTCCTGTGCAGGAGTTGGTCACCAAAACACTCAGAACATTCCAGAGGTGACATCACAAAACAATACGCTGTTTTTCAGGGCTCATGGTCTCTCTGAGCATCACAGGTGGGGATGAGGCATCTGACGGTCAGGAAGAGTTCACCCCGGTTGCGTCTACCTCGCCGGTCATGGTCAGTGTGACACACAACCACCCAACACCAGCCCCCTGTTTGGTCATCCTTGCTGCTATTCCCATCCCCACTGCCTGGCTGGGCTGAAATCTCTGTCCTCTCTCTAGAGCTAGCATCTTCTACTTGGAGTTGTATCACTCAAGGAGGAAGGAACCCAAACTGAACTCATTCCAGGCCAAGAGAAGACAATAGGCCTGAGATATTTTCTGACACCAACCAATTCTCCTCCAATTCGCCGAGGCCCACTGGATGTCAATTCAATTCTGCCACAATCTCGCTGGAGTTGGTGTCAGGTCACCGGAGTTCAAGGACTCAGTCCTGCAAGACAGCCCCCCTCCAGACACCAGTCGCAACTCCCAGGCCACCCGTGTTTCCGACCTGACCAGCTATAAATTGGGGGTTCCCACAAACCCCTCCTCAGCCTCAATAATTTGCTAGGATAGCTAACAGGATGCAGGAAAACACCTTACTTAGGATTAGTCTTATTATAAAAGAGACAACTCAGAAAGAGCCAAATGGAGGATGCTTAGGGCAAGGTACGGGGAGAGAGGAACACGGAGCTTCCACATCCTCGCAGGTCATACCGCCATCCCGGCTTCTCCATGTGTTCACCAACCCGGAAGCTCTCCTGACCCTATTGCTTGAGGCTTTTTATGGAGGTTTCACTACCTGGTCATGGTTGAGTAAATCACTGGTCATTGGTGATGGAAAATTTCCAGCCCGACCCCTCCTCTTCCCAGAGGTGAAGGAGTGAGATGCTGAAAGCTCCAACAAGCTAATCACATGGCTGATTCCTCTGGCAACCAGTGCCCATCTGGAAGCCATCGAGGGGCCACCAAGAGCCACCGCATTAGCATAAACTCAGGTGTGCTCCAGATGGGCTCCTTATGAATAATAAAAGGCACTTCAATCACTCAGGAAGTTCCAAGGGTTTGAGGACCTCCATGCCAGGAACTGGGAACAAAAACCAAGTATATGTTTCTATTATGCCACACGTAGAAACTTCAAGACCACAGTGCTGACGTCTGGGCTTCATGAAAGGGGCAGACCAGCCCGCTGGCCTCAATTCTTGTCAAATTATTTGCCTCTACAGACTGTAAGTGGGAGCCTTCTTCTGTTTCCTAAGGCTCTTATTAGGCAAAGAGCTCCAGCTCCACATTATTATGCAGTATATGGGGGGAAGGGAGTAGTAGACCAGGCTCAGCAGATCCAGGGACACCATAACTGCCCCTGGAATCTTCCACACCCAAATTACAAGCAAGCCTTGCTTTAAGAAAATCCAATGTACGAGAATTCAAAGATACATGTGTGGCAAAACCAAGAAGGTAATTAATCACATCATCAAAAAATTGACGGCAGGTTCAGTTGAGCACTTCCTCCCACAGAAGTTGCTTCTAGGGCCAAGGAGCATGAGCTCTGCCCCGCAAAGCAAGGTTCTGCCCAGAGAAAGGAATCTGCCAGTAAGCCTGATATGTTTTACTACTCTTGTATATATACATATAATAAATCATTCACATTGGTTATTACTTTCATTTTAAAGGGGAACTTCTCCAAGTGTTTTGTTTTTAATTTCATTTCATGTTTTAATTGTGGTCATAAACATATAACATTAAATTTACGACCTTAAGCATTTTTAAGTATACACAACTCAGTAGTGTTAACTATAGTCACATCACTGTGCAAACATCTCTCTGGAAGTTTTTCATCTCGCAAAACTGAAACTCGAATTCTCCCTCCCAACTCCTCCCAACCCTTGGCAACCACCTTTCTACTTTCTCTTTCTGTAATTTTGACTACTTTAGACACCTCAGAGGAGTAGAATCACACAGTATGTCTTTTCATGACTAGTTTTTTTACTTAGCATAACGTCCTCAATGTTCCTCCAGCCTGTTGTGACAGGCTGTCCTTTTTTAAGGCTGCATTCTATTCTTTTGTATTTACATACTATATTTTCTTTACCCATTCACTTACTGATGAACATTGGGGTCGTTCCTACCCCTTGGCTATTGTGAATAATGTTGCAATGGGTATGCAAATATCTCTTCAGGATCCTGCTTTAAATTCTTTTGGATATATACCCAGAAGTAGGATTGCTGAATTATATAGTTTTATTTTTAATTTTTTGAAGAACCTCCATACTGCTTTCCCATAGCTGCCACGCCATCCTTTTACATTCTCATCAGCAGCTCACGAGGGTTCCAGTTTTCCACATCCTTATCAACACTTGTTTTCTGTTTCTCCAAGGGTTTCTAGTGGTTAACTCTCATACTGTTGGAGAACTTGGTTCGGTTTTCCCTTATAGACGCACCTCACAGAAGCACCTGCACGTCCCCCTTCGGGGCTGATCTGGGAAGTCTAAACAAAGAGGGAACTCGCTATGTTCATGTCCAAGGGCTGCCCAAACAAAGGACCATGAAATGAATGGCTTAAAACAGCAGCAATTTATTGTCTCACGGTTCTGGAGGCCAAAAGTCAAAGTCATTGGCAGGACCATGCTCCCTCTGAAACCCATAGGGGTGAACCCTCCCTTGCCTCTCCCCTGGTTTCTGAGGGTTGTTCACAATTCTTGCCCTTCCTCGATCTGCACCTGCCCCACTTACATCTCTGCCTCCGCCATCACATGGCCTTCTCCCGTCATGTGTCCACAACTGTTCTCTCCTTACAGAGACGCCAGTCATACTGGATTAAGGGTCTACCCTATTCCAGTATAACCTCATCTTAATCACGTCTGCAATGACTCTATTTCCAAATGAGGTCATATTCTGAAGTATTCGGGGGTTTTTACTTCAAATATCTTTTGAGGGGAGGGGGGTACAATTCAACCCATAACAGAAGCTAACATTAACCTAACGAGCACCAGCACAGTGCCAGATACTTTATATGTGCTAAGTTACTTAATCAGAGTTGCTGGCACGTATGCAAGTCCTCCCACCTTGGGTGACAGCCCACCCTTGGGGTCCCTAAGCCCATCGCCCTGGCCCATCTCCAACAGGTTCAGTTGAACCCCTTCCTGCCACAGAAAATGGCTCTGGTGCCAAGGAGCACAGCTCTTCCCTGCAAGGCCCCTCATGGACAAAGGAATCTGCTAGTAAGCCTGATGTATTTTATTACTATTATACATATTACATATTATTTATATTTGTTATTATTTTCACTGTGTGATTTTTGCCTGCTCTCAGTCGCCCTGCCTCCTCCATGCTTTTGGCCGTCTGGCACTTAGTTCCAGGCAGTGTGGTAAAATCCTTACCCCAGCCCTGACCTGAGGCCGTATCTGCAGAAAGAAACACCCCACCCTATTTAAGTTCCTCTTGGCTTTCTACTGTGACACCCCCCCCCAAATTATACCCATGATCTCAGGGGGAACTAAAGGAATAGTTCATTCCTAGAAAGGAAGTCTTGCTATTGGACCATCACAAAAACGCCCAGGGTCCAGATGAACGTGTAAACCATTCCTTTTTCCATTTCAGTGCCAAGTGGTCCAGCAGAGACCTCCTCTGATGGGTGTCTAGGGACCCTGCTCTCTGTGAGCTCCCTCCCTCCTCACCTCTGCCTTAGTCCTTTGCCTTTCTCTGCTCAGAGGCCTGGCTCCAGGTGAAGGGGCAGCCACCAGATCTGTGGCTGACAATGATGGTTCTCACTGCAAATCAATGACTCATTACTCACTGTTAGGTGATCACAGACCCTCCCACCCCATCCTGCCAGGGGGTTTGCTGGGGGAAGGGAAGAAAACAAATGGACACATGGACGGTCCTACCACATTAGCATAAAAATAACTTCTTTTATTGAACCTAAAGGAAGGGCACTGATAAGAATAAATGAGGATGATGGGGCCCCTGGGTGGCACAGTCGGTTAAGCATCCAGCTCTTGGTTTTGGCTCAGGTTGTGATGGTGAGATCAAGCCCCACATCAAGCTCTGCACTCAGCACAGAATCTGCTTAGGATTCTCTCTCTCCCTCTTCCTCTGCCCGTCCCCACCCCGGTACTCACTTGTTCTCTCTAAAATAAGTAAATAAATCTTAAAAAAAAAAAAAAAAAAGAATAAATGAGGAGGCAAATAGCAGGGTCATGGACACTGGCATCAGCAGACTGTGCAGATCTAGAGGCCAAGAAATAGTTTCTATATGTCTTAGCTCAGTCTCCCACAACAAAATACCACAGACTGGGTGACTTAAATAACAAATACTTATTTCTCACAGTCCTGGAGGCTGGGAAGTCCAAGATCAAGGTGTTAGCAGATTTGGTTCCTGATGAGACCTATTTCCTGGCTTGCAGTCAGCCACCTCCTCACTGTGTCTTCACATGGCAGAGTGTGTGTGCGTGTGTGTGTGTTCTGGTCTCTCTCCCTCTCTTATAAAGACATTAATGCCATCCTCAAGACTTCACTAAACCTAATCGCCTCCCCAAGGCCAAACCTCCAAATACCATCACACTGGGGAATCAGGGCTTCAACATAGGACTTTTGGAGGAACATAAACATTCCATCTCTATGCTACTTGACTTGGGCAAGTCACCCCACCTCTCAGAAGCTCAGTTGCCTCATTTCCAAAAGGAGGAAATCGTATGTAATTTGAGATAACACGCGTAAAGAAGCTGACACTTAGCAAGTTCTAAATAAATAATCATCGCCTCGGAGCCCTCCTACCAAACGGTCTTGCTCCCTTTGACTTACAATCTCAAGCCACTGACACACGACTGGGGCTGCTCTTAAAAAGTCTTGCTACTACAGCTTACGTGAAGCCTTTATGTTTGCCTGATTGATTGACTGGTTTTTGTTTTTAAGGGAGGAGCATTTCAAACGGGGCCGTCCTGGTACCGGCACCTACAGTTGCCCATTAGCTGGGCTCCTTCCTCCTCTGCAGAACACATGTATCCATGACCCAGTATTGAGAAGCTTCCTTGAGATTGCACCCAAAATGCCTGTTATTACTCAGATTAGCACCATCATCAATCATCCACGTTCCATGAGCATCCACATTTGGTGGACGCTACGCAGAACATGGAGGTAGACATGCCTCATGGGTTTCTAATCTAAACAGACAGGTAGAGCAGAGACAAAGGAAAGGGCAAGCATGCATCTGAGCCTCTCCAGGCTTTCCTCACCTGCAACTGTCAGATGATGAATCACAGAGAAAAATTCAGCAAGCAGGAGGGTCCATTAGAGAGCACAGGGCCCCTCGCCCTTCCCTGAAGAGTCATAGAAACCGCAGCTGTTGGTTCAGGAGTCAGAAGTGGGCAAGGGGGGGAGGGTACTTTCTGACCTTTCTCTCTTCGTTTGTGGAGAGGGGGATAGAAATTTGGATGTATGTAGTAAATTATCATGATGCCTGTCATCTCCCATTGCATGACATGATTACAAATGTGTTATTTTTGCTACATAGGGCAGGGTAGCTCTACTTTGGTGCCAGAAATCCAGCCTGATTATAGCAAGGCTTTGGGCCAAGATCTTTAAGGGACAGCTGGGGGCCCTCACCTTTGAGGAAGCAGAAGGCAGCCACCAGGAAGTACAAGAAAGACTGCTGTTAAGTCTATCAGGCAACAAATAAAGGTCAACAGTTGGAAAAAATATAAGAGGGAAGGAAACAGAAAAATAAAATGGCAGCTCTTGGCGGCTGTTATTTCTAGAAGAATCACTCACATGTGTGGGAATATTGACGGAAACAACAGAGGTACAGTGCCCTAGAAAGTAGGATAGTTGGCATTCCAAAGTTCCAAAGATAAGCAGGATAAATAAATCCTTCTTGAAGTCAGAAAGGAGATCATGTGCCTGACTGATCCTCATAAGTAATGTTGAAACTTTGGGGTCTCTAGAGCTGTGTGCCATCCTTACAACCAGACTTATCTTCTGAACCCAGGAACTGCTAGAAATTCCCCCAAAGTTCTGACGTTTTCCTAATATTAGTCCATCTGTTCAATCCATCCAAGAGAGAAGCTCTATTAAAAGACAGCCAATGGAAAAGACTTTCAGTTTCTAAGAAATTCTCCTTTAGTTTGGAAAAAGTCACACCTAAAACTAATATAATATTGTATGTCAATTACACTTCAATAATTTTTAAAAAATTAGGTGCGGGACACCTGAATGACTCAGTCAGTTAAGCAACCAACTCTTGGTTTTGGCTCAGGTCATGATCTCAGGGTCATGAGATGGTGTTTGGTGTCGGGCTCCACCTAATGCTTAAGATTCTCTCTCTCTCTCGCTCTCTGCCCCTCCCCCACCCCGCTCACGAATGCACCCTCTCTCAAAAAGAAAACGAAAAAAGTCAGTGACCTTGTGGTCTTTGGCCCCAGTCAGAGACAGTAAGTGGCCTTGTCATTGCAGGCAGTCAGAAGCCATGGGAGTGGACGCTTCCGAACAA